TATTTTTATAAATACAAATATTTAAGTAAATGCTCTGTTTATAATAAACAGTATTAACTACATTTACCAGTTTGAATGCTCAAGAAATATCTTGGAAAAAATGTATCCTCCAACTGGAATTGTATCTGTATCCTACACAAAACCATTATTTGGACTGACATACTTTACCATTTAGCTGCAGTGGAAGTGTCTGGTCAGTAAAGTCAAATTACTGTTTTTAAGCAGAAACATATTTAAAAAGGACAAATATTTTCTATGATATTTCTCAGACATTCAGGTTGATAAATGTAGTTAATACTGTTTATTATAAACAGAGCATTTGCTCAAATATATGCATTTATAAAAATAACATATCAACAGAAAATGTATTAAAATAGTTGTCAGACTTAGTCTATTTCATAATATCCGTTTTCATTTGTTTATTTTAAGATAAAACTCGAGCGGATATGATAATTTAAGAAAAGTCATGGGAAATTTGTTGTTTAAAAATTTTGTTTTAAGCAAAATAGCTTTGGATATCTTGAAAGCATCTAACAGGGTTTGGCACACTGGTCTTCTTCACAAGTTGAAAGGCTATAGTATTTCTGGATAAATTTTTGAACTGATTCAGACTTTCTTACTGAATCATGAAATAAAAGTTGTCTTGAATGGCCACTCATCTAGATCTTTTTGCATTAGTGGAGGTGACTGCCAGGGCTCTATCCTTGGACATATATTGTTCCTATTTTTCATCAACAACCTTCCTGATGTCAGCAGTTTTCAACTTGTTATATATTACATTTATACCTGTTCTAATATTAAGCCTGAGTGATTTGATAAGTTCAAATTAGCAACTGATTTAAAAAAAAATGACCTACTTTCTGTTGTTAACTGGAGCAAGGAATGGCCTGTTAATTTTATCATCTCTCTATTCTGAGAGAACACATTCTACCTTCTAGTAGCATGGGTGGTGCAAGTCTCCAGAAGAGTGACTTATTATGCCTTCTAGGGCTGATATTTTCCATTGACATGAAGTGGAAAGATTATATCAAATCAAATGCGAAGTCTTCTGCTAGAAAGGTTTGTTCTCTGAGTCATGCTAGACAATTTCTTTTATTCAAATCTATCTGACATATTGAGAAATCTATCATTTGTCCATGCATAGTATATTGCTGCTATATATGGTCTGGTGCTCCTGATATATATATATATATATATATATATATATATATATATATATATATATTTGATAAAATCCCCAAAAGAATCTGCAATGTTATTGGCCCTGACCTGGAATCTCAACTTCAGTCACATTCCTAACACCGTAATGTAGCTTCCTTGTGACTTTTCTGTAAATACTTTTATGGTAATTGTTCTGATAAGCTTCCCTGTATGGTAACCAGACTTTATGAATTTAAGTGCAGTACTAGATTGGCAGGTAGGTCTCATCATTTTACAGTGAAAATGGCTAGATGTAACCATAAGTTCTATGCTAATAGTTTCTTCTCTCATACTTCTCACTTGTGAAACTCTCTTCTGCCTTCTTGCTTTCCAGTCAAGTTTGACCTTCAAAAATTTTGAAGCAATGTCAATCATTATCTTCTTAATTTCTGTTCTTTTATTGTTCTTCCTCATTAATTTTTTTTTGTTAGTCTTACACATTTAGAAATAACCATGCTACTTTGTGGCCTTGCTTGGGACAAAACAATTAAAAATAAACTCATCCACTGTTCAGAGAAAATCTGAATTTGCGATATACTATCCACTGTGGACATGTGTGTGGCATAAAGGCTAAAGCTAGAAGCCAGAAGAAAGGTCAACATGCAAGAAGTGCAGGTGAAGGAACAATCTGCATAGAACTTATGGTTACAACTAGCATTTTAAAAAAGAAGCCTATCTACTACTGTGCTTAAATTTCTGAAGTCGAGGGACCAAGGAAGAAAGTTCATTAGATCAATTACCATGACAATATTTATAGAAAAGGCACAGGGAAGCTATATTACACTGGTGAAATATAAGTGAGGCAGAGATCAATAATCTTGCAGATTCTTGTTTAGATTTTATGAAGAATAACTTGATATAAAACAGAAGTACCAGACAAGATGTGGCCGCAGTATTCCATGCATGAATCAATAATTTACCAAGTAGAGTCTCACAAGAAAAATTACCTAGCCTGACATAGTGAATGCATTACTAGATGCAACCGTGAGTTCTATGCTAAAACTTTCTTCTCTTACACTTCTTACTTGTGGAAATCTTTAGATTCTTGTTTTCCAGTCCAGGTTTATCTTCAAAAATTTAATTGTGATATGTCCCGGAAAGGGATATATTTGTTCGTAGTGGTTGTTGACACTGTAACTGGGTAGGACAATCTAGCAGGTAACTGTAATAGACGGGTCCTCATCGTAGTGATAGGCAATAGGCGAAGCCAATAGACGTTGTCTTATACATCCACATCAGTCTGTATTTATGGCTGACACCAGCCAATCATATTACTGTGAGGGGGAACCCAGGTGTATGCATATTCATTACATCAATATGCAATGTCATTTGTTACCTTCTCTCCTTTTAATTCCAGTTTTGTTGTTGTCGTTCTCACTCTTTAATAGTATTTTTCTTATATTCTTTCATACTCAGTAACCACCTGCATGTTAGCAGCTCAGTTGTCTTGCTTGAGGTGAATTCAACTTTCTGCACTGATAAAAGGACCTGTATATCTACTGATCCCTGAACAAAGGAAATCCTTATGGATTCCAATATAAATTATCAATATTTACCAATGCCCAAACAAAGTAAATGCTTAAAGACTAAAATAGAAATGACCAATATTTACCTATCCCATAACCAAGTAAATGCTCATAGACTCAAATAGAAATTATCCATATTTACTTAGCCTGCAAGTAAGCAAATGCTTATAGACTCAAATATAAATTAAAATTATTATCTATTTACAAAACAAGTAAAACACTTATGGACTTATATATATAAATGATCAATATTTACATGTTTGTGAACCAAGTAAATGCTTATTGACTCAGATAAAAGTTACAAATATCTACCAATTCAAAAAGTAAATACTAATAGTCTCAAAAAAAAGCCCAACAAAGATACATATATTATCACTTATTATACTCAAGGTACATGCATATATTATTTCTTATTACAGTCAAGGTACACACATATATTATCACTTATTATACTAAAGGTACATGCATATATTATTTCTTATTACAGTCAAGGTACATACATATATTATCACTTATTATACTCAAGGTACATGCATATATTATTTCTTATTACAGTCAAGGTACATACATATATTATCACTTATTATACTCAAGGTACATACATATATTATCACTTATTATACTCAAGGTACATGTATATATTATTTCTTATTACAGCCAAGGTACATACATATATTATCACTTATTACATTCAAAGTAAGAGCCTATATTATCCCTTAATATATTCAAGGTACATGCTGATATTATCACTTATTATATTCAAGGTATATGCATATATTATTTCTGATTACACTCAAAGTCCATGTATATATTATTTCTTATTACATTCAAGGTACATTCATATATCATCACTTATGACACTAACATGTAAACAAGAAAACTGTCTAGAAAAGACTCCAGCAATTCTGAATATCTCAAAAATTATTTGTGCAGACTTTTCTGTACCTCAGTAAGGAATCTACAAGGACCTTATTGTGCATACATGAACAGACACTCATCCATGATTGTTGCTTAATCAGCAATGAAATCTCATTGTGTTAGCTAGTGTATTGCATGACTGTCACATTCACACCGAATATGAATCAGGATTTGTTTGAAACTTAAACATTCATCTATAGAAATTATTTGAAGGGATAATTCAGTGTGTGAAGCCTAGAAAAACTTTGCTACCAATGTTTCAAACTTAGTTAAAAGTCCATTAAAATTGATCAATGTTCTGGAAGGCATTCAATGCTCAGCATGCTTGAAAATGTATACAGATTGCAATCAAAGGAAATCAATTAGAAGATGTTGGAAATTCTATAGACATTATGTAAAGTCTCCAACCATTTTGAATATTTCAAATATCTATTCTTCATGCCTCATACAGGGTTTTGTCAAAGTATTGTTCAAATTTTAAGCCTTTCTGCATTCTCCTGTAACTTTGTCCAGTTAACAACTGTTGTCTGCAGAATTAAAACCAGTGGATCCAAAGAGAGAAAAAAAATAATATAGGTGCACTTAAATAAGATAGTAAAATTGGGGAAAAAAGTAATAATCTCACTGTAAAAAAAAAAAAGAACATTCTTGATTACACTTAAAGAAAACTTGTAAAAATAATTTAAAAAATTTGAATACCATATTTGATTTGTTTAAATTAATAACATTCAATCAAAACAGATCAGCACTTTTAACAATATAGTCTAGCAGATTTTTTCTCCATCTGTAGACAATGGCTAACCAGAAAGAAACCAATCATTTTGAATATTTACAACCAGTTGGATAGTTCTTTTAATTTAGCAACCAACCAGAGGGGACCTTACTGCGCAGGTGCAAAATGCCCCCCACCTTTTTTCTTGTACAGTTTCTTAGTGACATGCCATTGAGTGAGTTTGTGTATTGTATGGTGATCACAAAATATGGATCAAATTTTACTTGAAGCCATTAGTCAACAGAGATTATTCAAAATGATTAAGATTTTCAGAGACGATTCAATGAGTGAAGCCCAGAAAAAATTTCATGCCAATGTTTCAAAATTAGTCAGAAATCCATTGAACTAATTATGGCTTATCAATCTTTTGAAGGTTATTTTAAGCCACAAAATATTTTTAGGTTCTAAATAATAATGATTTATGGATACAAGTCCTACTAATTAACCCATAGCTGGGGGAGAAAAGGTGAATTTATATTTTTCCCAAGGGTATTTACACACAAGTGAACCCAACTGGAATTGGAACTCGACTCTCCAATTTCCAATTCTCATCTGTTATCCATTACACCACCCATACATCCAAGCTTACAACAACTGGTATTCCCAGGTGGTCACCCATCTAGATACTGATCAGGCTTGATGTTGTTTAACTTTGGTGATTGTATGAGAACTAGTATTTCAATGTGATATAGCAGAAACCAGAAAATCCAATATGAGGTTGTTGTTTCATATTCCATCCAATTATTGATGGAGTATCCAGTTTGAAAACTTCAAATGATTATAACTCCATAGTACAGCCATCCTTATGTAAATTTTTTTCTTTTTTGAAAAGGTTGTACCATATTATCCATCAAAATCTTAATGTCGCATCCACATAAATTATCATAATATTCTGCAATTTAAATCTACAAGTACCAGTGTACACTACTGACATAATAATATAATTATGTCAGGGTTGTTTATCTATTTTGGATTGTTTTATTTTTATCCTAGTTGTTTGATACTCTGTGTCAACAAAAGTGGGGAATATGAAACAAGAACCTCCTATCAGGGAAATTATCACCCACCTCATTTTCCAAGCCTTTTGTAAATAATTGTTATCAACACTTGTTTACTTTGTTTTATTATATATTATGCTAGCTGAGTGTATTTGTAATCTTGATGTTTCAAATAAGAGGTTTTAAAGCTAAGTAAAAATTTCTGAAAACATGTACTTGGTATAATACCTTCTAGTCTTGATCAAGTTCAAAAGCATGTATGGGTTTGTATTTTCTGCACTACGAAAACCCTTTCTCCACATGCAAAATGATCTGACATACTACATACTGTTGTTTTTCCAGTTCAGACCTTCACAGCTAAGATCGGCCATGACATGTACAATTATTTAAACCACCTTTGTTGCATTAGCAAGAAGGAAGTTCCACTTGAACAGATCCTTCCCAAGAAGCACTCTCTCCTGTCTTTAATCATCATTTAAAACATCTTGTATTATCCACAAGAAAATAGGGTAGCTATTTTGTAAACAAGAATTATAACATGACAAAATAAAAAAAAACAAAACATGCTATCAGAAATATTACAAACTTGTTAATAATTAATAAAATGGCAAATTATAGAGAATCAAGTCAATTAAAATCAATGAAAATGTAGACTTGTTTTTAATAAAAGACAAGTGCTTGTCTTTGTCATCCAATCTTTGTCCCACTGAAGAGAATGCAACTGACAATGGACATTCATTGTATTTCAATGTCAAAATGACACTCCAGGCTAAGAAGCCTGCCTCACAAAAATATACTGAAAGGAATGGTAGGACTTTCATATCAATTTCACTGACCTCAGAGAATTCTGCTTTTACTGTTATCCCAAAAGAAACAAAAGGTGATGTAGTCTCAAGAATTATCTTTTATTTTTCATTGTCAGCCATATAATGGTTGCCTATGGATTGTGTATTGACACCAATAAACTTACGGCAATTTGAGTAGCACTGAACGAGATCATTCACAGACAGATATCATATGTCTTAAAAGAGAACAAAAATCCCAATTATTAAGGCTGACATAAGTGGACACTGAGGACAACAGTCAGTTTCATGCTTAAACATAATCTATACACAATCCACCCTCAAAAGTGCATTAAGCATGAAATAGACTGTCACCATCAAGTGTTGACCTCAATGTCCACTTCATATATATATATAGCATAAGAAAAATGTGCTCAATGTTAAATAACAGAACTGTTTAATATATTAAAAAAATATACATAATACCCTACATTAAATGTACAACTCAGAGTTTCATGCTATTTGCAATCTTCAGGTGAAATTTTTTGGGTTACACCATTTATATGATATTTCTGGTTATTGCGAGATATTTTATTGCTTTTGTGGATTATTATTGTTGTTGTATAAATGAATTGTAGTTTAGTTCTGGTTTTTAGTTTAGGCCAATATTAACATTTAAGATTGAAAATAAGAATTATAAATTTTAATTTAAAAACATTTAAAAAAAAAGTTTGCTGATCAAGTGGGGGTGTAACTATTTTTTGTATGAAAATCAATAATGAAATTGATCAAATTAATAATATTAATGAAATCTGCAGTGATAAAATTAAGATACTGATAATAATACTAATAAAAACAATAAAAATAAAATAAAATAAAAATGAAAACATAAATAATAAATAAATAAATAATGATAATAATAAAAACAAACCACGTTGCTGATAGTAAGGCTAAAAGTAAATGTAAGATAAAGACAATAATAATAATAATGGTTATATAATAAAAATAGTAATAATAGTAATAATGAAAATAATAAATTAGCATAAATGTCAAATGGATTACAGTTTAATAATAACAGTAACAGTAGTTATATAGTAAAAATAGTAAAAATATCTCATGATTACCAGAAATATGAAAGAAAATGGTGTAAAACCAAAAATTGCACCTAAGATTGCAAATGGCATGAAACTCCGAGTTGTACAATCAACGTAGGATATTATGTTTTTTACATGTTTTTATATATATATATATATATATATATATATATATATAGAAGAAATATAGTCTTGAGGTGTGCTATATTTATGAGATAAAGTGCTCAATCTCAGAGATAGGGCGTGTGTAAATATAAAAGTGAACATAGAAGTCAACACTTCGAGGCCACAGTCTGTTTCAGGTGGCCTGACAGTTGCATCTAACATGAAAGACTATTGCCTCTAAGTGTTGACTTCTATGTTCACTTTCATATATATATATATGTATATACATATATTCTGTTTATACGTTATTTAATAGATACAATTTATTTTAGTAAATGCTCTGTTTTTTAAATAAACAATATTAATTACATTAACTGGCCTGAATGTTCAAGAAATTTCTGAGAAAATATCTGCTTCTCCTAAATTTTCTATGAAATTTTTTGAACATTCAGGTTGGTGAATATAATTAATACTGCTTATTTGAAAAACAGAACATTAACTTAAATAAATTGTATCCATTAAATAACGTGTAAACAGAAAATATATTAAATAATTATTGGATTTAATCTATTTTATAATATATATATATAAGTTTATGTTTATATTGATGCGACCAAGTGATGCTGGGAATTTTAAATTTCCCTTAAAGATTTTCAACTATTTTTTTTTTTATACATGATTTTTTATGATTAATTTTTCTGTACGATAACAATTTTTATAACATGGAAATAAATTTGGGAAGAATTGAAATTAATTGTGAAATTGAGCAAAAGTCACACATGAAATAAAAAGAATTGTTTGTATGGAAAGTAAGGACGTGTGTACATCAAATTCTCTTTAAATTAAATGGTGGCAGAAGAATTATCATTAAACTTTTAAAAGGTAAGCTTAATTATTAATGCAATACTTAAATGCAGTGATCAATTTTGAGTTCGTTTGTAGTTTATTGTTGCCTAGCGTATCTACTTCTCCTTACATACTCTGATGAAGGCCCAATCAAGAGCCCTCTGCAGAATCTTCGAAGCTTACATGCTGCCTGATAGGGTGGCTTTAAAACTTATATATATATATATATATAAATATATATATATATATATATATATATATATATATATATATAGAGAGAGAAAATAATATATATATATATATATATAGAAAGAGAGAGAGAGAAAGAGATGTGTATATATATATATATATATATGAAAAATAAAAATAAAAAATAAATAAATACTACATTACTTAAAAATCGAAAACTGAAAAGAGAAAATATACAAGTAGAATAAATTGACCTAAATTCATCCAAGTAAATAAATAAACAAACCAATCCCGATAAAGTTACCGTTAGAAAAAAACAAATAAAGATAACCAACCCAAATAAACACAAATTAAAAACTGTTCCTGCCAAAATAATAGTTAGAATAAAGTACAACAATCAACCCCAAAACCGAACAAATAGCTTTAATTAAATTCTCAAACCAAAACAAAACTATTAAATAAGTGATATAAACAAATTTTTACTACGTTAATAAAAACACCGATTAAAAAAAAAAAATTAAAAAATTAAAAAATAAATAAATAAATAAAATAAGAAACAAAAAATAAAAATAAATAAAAACAAGCAAAATAATTTAACCCAAATAAATAAATAAATGACTTCCGGTAAAATAACTGCCATAATAGACTACCCACAATGCACAAGTGACCTGTATATATATAAATAGCCGAGAAAAACAACAGCACACGTGGCCTGACGATTGCATATAGCATGAAACAGACTGTCGCCTCTAAGTGTTGACTTCTATGTTCACTTTTATATCTATCTATCTATATATATATATATGAATAAAGACAAAAGGAAAACTTTTCTTAGCCCACATGTTTCCTCCTCTGAGGAACATTATAAAGCATTAGAGTCAGGGTTATGCATTGGCTAAGATAAGTTTTCCTTTTGTTTTTATTCATATTGTCTTTTTACAGATATACTCCATCTGTAATTTTACACACACACACATTAAATATATATATGTGTGTGTGTGTGTGTGTGTGTATATATATTGATATAATAGGAAAGAACTGTTATATTGATGATCTGAAGTTCTTTAGTATTTCTGTTTTTATTTTAAAAAAACAGTGCTTGAATCATAAGTAGAGCCTAGATTATAATTATTTTTTAAAAAAATATGATTCCATCGCAACACAGAAATTACTATCTTTCGAAACTGGTCATCGGTATTTAAGTTTAATTCAAATATTAAACCTTAACTACTGGGTGGCAGTTTCATCCGCAAGCATTGTTTTGGAACCAAAATCCCCACTTGAGGATGAAACTGCCACCCAGTAGTTAACGCTTAATATTTGAATTAAACTTAAATACTGATGACCAGTTTCGAAACATAGTAATTTCTGTGTTGTGATGGAATCATTTTAAAAAAAAAATAATTATAATATATATATATATATGTATGTATGTATAATAAAAATAATAATCATAGTATATCTAAGCATTTCGTAATGTATGAATATAAAGCTTATATCAGATTTAATAATCATGTGCCTGTATGTATTGAAAGAGTAAATTTTCTTATTCTCTATTTTTTTTATTCTTAGCCAATATGTTTCATCCTCTGAGGGATTTTATCAAGGTAAATGTAAGGATTTATTTTGTTGCACATGTTTATATACAAAAGCAAGGATGTCATTGCTT